GGCCCAACAACAGTTGTTTTCAAACAAATCAAATTCACAAGTGTTATACCATCGAAGGACAAAATCACAACAAACTTAGTTTGAAGATCTGAACTGTATTTATTGCGATTATAGAATCAGGCAAGACTTCATTCCATAAAATAGAGTAGCTTTTCAGTGAGCTCAGCAGAAGGCATTGGCTTGATAAACTGAGAAGGGCTGAAGAAAGCAGAAGCCAGGACAAAGTGCACGTGAGTCGTTTCAAAGCTACTTTTCTTAGTAGGCAGAGGCGGGGAGAAATGACTGATTAGTTAACGACAGGGTACTTCAGCCTACATTTTCTGCGTAAGGATTAAAGCAGAGGGAACTTCATTATCATGCTGATTGAAGATTCAAACTGGCCTGTTTGGGAAATTGGCTGTTATCTCTCTCCTGATTTCTCGGAAGGTCAGACAAGTTAGTTAGGGTCTGAGATGTGGAACTTAGCAGGGGTGACTCCATTTTGATTTTTAGTCTGGTCTGTTGGGGTCCAGTGCAGAGGCTTAATCCAAAACAATGGCCTCCTATCATTTTTATTTAACAATACCTATTCCTTTCATTTTATTTTTCTAAATGTTCTTTTTCACCATGCTTCCTCAGTTAATTTTTTGAATTCATCTTGGTTGACAACAGCAATAGCCTTTTCCTTTTTAGTCCTAATTCCTCTGCCACCACGTGTGACACATTTCTCTAGTTGGTCAGTTTCTCCAGTTCGGTCTCTCTTCCTTGTACAGGGGCTTTTATGCAGAAGATGGCATGTGTGAACGCTGTAGCTCTTCTTGTAGAACATGCGAAGGAAATGCCACCAACTGCCATTCTTGTGAGGGAGGCCTCGTCCTGCAGCACGGAGTGTGCCAGGAAACCTGCTCCGAGAGACATGTGGCCGTGGAGGGGGTGTGCAGGCATTGCCCAGAGATGTGTCAGGAATGCATCCACGAGAAGACCTGCAAAGGTACCCACCTGGGAGCTTCCCCAGGGAGAGCGTGGCTCTGCTGAGCACCTGGCTGGGGCCCACGACGTAATGGGGGGTGTCCAAAGAGAACTGTGGGAACAGTCTCCCTGCCTTTACAGGGATCTGTCTCTGTGCCCATCATTTAGGAAACAGGGGGTGAAATACCCCTTTCCATAATGGATTCTACAAGCTGAGACAAACCAGAGCCTCCTTTTACAGGGTTTCCTCCACACACGTACACACAGAGGGTGGGCCAGGCACTATGCCAGGTGCTAGAGACACAGATAAGAACCCAAATTTCCCATTTCTTTGCAAAATCTTCCAGAAGAGATGGATATTAACAAACCACAGAGATAGCAGAGAATCGCAATTATCATGAAAGATAAGAAAGAAAAGTTTAGACAACTTTAAGACTGAGAATAGCACTCTGGCTATACATTTCTTTCTTTCTTTTTTTTTTTTCTGGAGCTATCTCCCAAGAAACTGTTCTATTTCATCTCCAGATTAAGACG